GTGCTCGAGAGGCTCGAATAAAATTTGTTATTTAAATATGAGTCAACTTGAAGCTATAAAACATGAGGAGTCAATCGGGACAATTTATACTCTTTCCACGTGTCTTCTCTCCGAGAATAGAAACGGGGGGAAGAAGATTTGCGCGCCAAGTTTGTACGTAGTTCCAGAAGACAATTGATTGTATAATGATATGTCCTGAATTGAGTTGCATGAGACGTGCATTCGTAAGACAATAATATACATCTGCGTATTAACAGGATAAATAAAAAATAGTCGAGTGAAGAGGTTTTTTATATGACCATTTGTTAACGAAATATTGTTGAAATAATATGAGAAAACTCTATTTCCATGACTTTTCTCATTTTTTTCATCGTTTTGAGCAATAAATAATAATAAAATATTTTTTAAGAATTCAGAAATAGTTGCTAATGGCAAGTGGAATTGCCACTCCTTTAATTTTTCTCACAACAAATTTATCAACATTTTGTTTTAATTATGCAAAATCACTCTCTAACAGTAGATTTTACAAACAAAAATTGAGTATTTTGAAAATACTTCAGTAATCTGTACTATCGAATAAATTGTTTGAAATTTCTCTGAGAATTCCTCTTCAGTTTTTTAAAAATTAATTAATTTATTTCATAAATTTAAAAATTTATGATAAAAGAATCTCAAATAATTTTCAGTCCTCTCTGAATTTTTTCAAATTCTCGAAAACTTTTAGTGTCTATTGCAAAATTTTGATAAGTAACAAATATAGTTTTTTTATTAAAAAAATCAGTTTGGAAATGCATTCGTAAGACAATACCTTTGCTTATTTTTTATGGCCAATTGTCAACAAAATATTGTTGAAATAATATGAGACAATTCAAAATGCCCATGACTTTTCTCATTTTTTTCATCATTTTTATCAGGAGACAATGGTAAAATGGTTTTTAAGAATTCGAAAGTAATTTCTACTGACAAATGGAATTGACACTCCTTCAATTTTTCTCACAACAAAATCGTGCAGATTTTTTTAAATTATGCAAAATCGCTTTCTAACAGTAGATTATACAAAAAAATTGAGTATTTTGGGAATACTTCAGTAATATGTACTATCGAATATACTTCTTGAAATTTTTTCCAAGAATTTTTTTTCATTTTTTTTTATATGAAGGAAGAACTTTGAAGATGTTTCTTAGAAAATATAAACAATTAATTATAAACAAATCCCAAATAATCTACAATCCTCTCTAAATGTTTTCAAATTCTCTAAAAATTTTCATGTTTGTTGATAAATTTTGGTAAATAACATATATATTTTTTTCATTTAAAACAATCAGCTTGGAAACGTGCATTCGTCAGACAATATATTTGCTCATCAACAGGACAAATAAAAAAAACATGAGATAAGATTTTTTATGGCCAATCGTTATGAAATGAATGCCCATGACTTTTCTCATCGTTTTGAGCAAGAAACAATAGTAAATTTTTTTTCAGAATTCAGAAATATTTTCTCACAACAAAATCATGAAGATTTTTTTTAATGATGAAAAATCCCTTTCTAACACTAGATTTTACAAAAAATCGAGTATTTTGGAGATATTTCAGTAATCTGTTTTATATAATGCACTTTTGGTAATTTTTTCCAAGAATTCCTTTTCAGGTTTTTTTTATAAAAGAACTTCGAAGATGTTTCTTACGAAATATAAAAAATTGATGATAAAAGCCTCTCTAATAATCTTCAATCCTCTATAAGCTCTTCCAAATCCTTTGAAATTTTTCCTGTTCAATAAATACTTTTGATAAATATTATTTTTTTTTTATTCAAATAAGAAAAAGGGAAAGATCAGTTTTTAGATTAAATATTCTAGAAATAATACGCATTTTCCTGAATTCACACGCGTATGATATTATATTCCCCTGTAGAAAACCCAGGCCCATGAATTTAAATGAACTGAGTATCCCGACCTTGTAAATACCGGAATCGCATTACAAAGAAAAAGCAAAAAAAAATTACAAATCCCACCTATTTATATATTCGTACGAAAAATGTTGGGAGGTGTGGTCTTACAGTTATTCAGGGTTTTTCTGCCGGGAGAGAATGCTAAAAGATGAATTACCATATTCGTAGCTGCAGAGTGAAAGGGCGTAACAGCTCCTCTGACACACACCACTTGCGCCCTTGTGACTCCACAGCAAGGAGAATGTGGGTATACGTGCGGTGCGGTTCGTCCACGCGAGTCACAACGTGATTAGAGGAAACTGGCCTACGTGACTCAGGTCTGCAATAATCACTGATGAGATTTCAGTGTGTGGGAAGAATAAGTCAACTAGGTGAAGAATTAATTAAATCACTCGGAAATATTTTCAAAAAGATTTTTGTTCGCATGTTGTGGTATTTCGTTATTTTCCCAGGTCGTCATAAAATGCAGAAAATTTGACATTTGAATAAAATAATTATTTATGTCACTGGACCCACTAAACCGCGGTTCTACATGGAAAAAATTATTTGATTATTTGATTTTTTAATTATTATTATTTTTAATTATTATTTTTTTTGTAGGCGTTGAAGTTCGCCAATTAGTTGTTGAAGTTCACCAATTATAGTCGTTGAAATTCACTGACTAGTTGTTGAAAAAAATGAATTATCAACCAGTTGGTGAATTTCAACAACTAATTGGTGAACTTCAACTAGTGAAATTCATTAAATAATTATCTCCGTGCAAAAAAATTTCAATTCCAAGTTAAGTAGCACTTCCCACAATGACGTTAACATCGCGATTTCAAAAAAGAGAACGCGGTTTTCGGCCCCAATAAGATAAAATATTGTATGCCACACGGCGATAAAAGTATTATCTGACTCATGTGATTATAATGCTCGCCTTCGTCTCGAATTATGTCACATTCGTCAGGTCATACTTTCATCGCCTGATGACATAATATACTAGTATATCACACAATGATAATTATATATCGTTTCATAAGGACGGTAAGCGGAGGTTTGCGAGGAGTGTGAAGTTTGCAGCACGAGGTGTCGCCGAGTTTGCATGCGAGTTCCGGGATTCCCCTGTTCCTTCCAGGGGAATCCCGGAAAAAGTGGACAAAGGGAAATTTTGAAGTTTGGATCTGTGGTTTTTTTTTCATGGTCTACACGGAGAAAATAAAATAATAAAGATTACTATGTCTCACACAACGATAATTATATATCGTGTCATAAGGACGGTAAGCGGAGGTTTGCGAGGAGTGTGAAGTTTGCAGCCCGAGGCGTCGCCGAGTTTGCATGCGAGTTCCGGGATTCCCCTGTTCCTTCCAGGGGAATCCCGGAAAAAGTTGACAAAGGGAAATTTTGAAGTTTGGGTCTGTGATTTTTTTTTCATGGTCTACACGGAGAAAATAAAATAGTAAAGATTACTATGTCTCAATCCGCACATAGTAAACGTTACCAGAGTTTTGCAAGTATTACTATGGAAATGGTAATGGTTACCATGGAACATCGTAATGGTGACTATGGAGCATAGGAAGCTCCTCAATGGTAATAGGCACTATGGACAGTAATAATGCATATTATATACTATACATATATTTTTTTATAGCTTAATTTATTTTTAACTGTCAAAAAAATAATATAGTTTTGTAAAAAAAAAATATATATAGGATAGTATATATGCATATAGTACATAATACATTCCTAAAAATAAAAAAGAACGCAAAAGCAAAAGAGAAACGAACAAGAAGATGGAGAGGATTATAACGATTTCGAATAATTATTCAATAATTCAATTTTCACTATGAAAAACTTTATTGAAATTCATTTCAGTAGCGAAGAACGGTTCAAGTTGACATCTCTCAGTTGAGTTTTTGTGGAATATTTCCGAATCTAAGGGGGATAGCGAAATTTTCGTAATTACATTTTTTGTAGCTCTCAATTGGCTCTACAGAGAAAGTTATAACAACAATTTTTCTATCTCCTTTAGATTCCGAGATATATTGAGATTATTGAAAATTGGCGAATAGTCAAAATTGACTTGAACCGGCTACCACTTCGCTACTGATTTCATTCATTCATTTTTCCTGCATCATTATTGAGATAAAAATCAATGAAAGTGAAAAACGGTAAGGTTTTACTATTCTGGCGCCCATGGAAAGCAATAGACATGCTTCCTGTTCTAGTACAGTAAAATTTGCCGCAATTTTCTAGATCATTTTTATCCCACTTTTCACTCCGTGTACCTGAGGCTAATCGCTTTTGCTGGACTTTTCTCGTTGCCGATCTCCGTAATAGTTGCGTAATTATTACGTTTCCATTTGTGTTTTTCTAGGTACAAGTGGGTCAAGATCAAATAGCAAAACAAATTAAATTAATCTTTTTTTTGTTTTCGTCGTTTGAAAAAAAAATTACGTAATCCCTTCGAATCTTCAATTTCCTCATTTCTTTCGTCAAATTATTATTATTTTTAATCATTATTATTATTATTAAATCATTATTTTTGATCATTTATTATTCTTTTTAATCATTAGAAAAATTGAAGATTGAAATGGAAAAATTGAAAAAAAAGGAAAATTGTAATCAGTGATTTGAATAAAAAAAATTCATCATTCTCAACTTGAGATTTCTCGCGTTTCCTTCAACAATTTGTTATTGTTACCAAAGTATTTGAATGCCTCTGGGAAGAAACCGTTAAAAACACTAATTTTCGTCGATTCATCCGCAGAAGTTTCGAGAAAACATTAATCTCCATCGATTGTAAGTTTCCATAAACAATTGAATGACTAATGAAATGGTCACAGGAGCAATAAACATAATCGTTTGGGCAATGAAATTTACGAGCATGATTCACCAATTTTATTTGTTTCCTTTATCACCTTTCCGATTGTAGGGAACTCATTTTTTATTTGCTCGAACTCGATTAAATTCTATTTTCGTAGCAGAATTATCGGTTATGACTCAGAAAAATGTGTAAGAAAAGTCAACACGATGGAAAAAATAAACACGGCGTATGTTTTTATTGTTTCAGAGTATCTACATGGTCTCACGGGTTATGAAATCACGGGTTTGAATGGAAAATCCTCAAAAATAATAAAGAATGAGGTAATGCGAGCAAGTGACGAGAATCGAGCCAATGAACCGAGTTCAAGGCGCGATCCAGTGGTCGACGAGGAACAAACGGTTTACGTCATTGAATTTGAGTCTGAGCCGAGTGAGAAGAATCACGAGCGCGGCCGCAAATCGATGGACTCTGACACAGGTAATTTTACATTGTGAGAGAAAAAAAAAATTTCAAGGTAGTTCAAGTGCCATCTACTGACGTTCTGAATGCGATTGAATTAATTGCCAATTTGAAGAAATAGTTTCTGGGGTGAAAAAATGTTTTAATTTTCAATGATAGTCACTGTTCAACCGTTTTATATTCATTTTTATTTTCTTAGGTTTTAAAAATGTTAATGTAATGTGTTCTGGTGCACTTGAGGAAATTTTTTATCGTGACAGTTGCGGAAATTTCAAGCTGTTTCGTCATTAAATATTAAACGTTTGGTAGGAAAATCAATGGAAACTGTAGATTTTAGATCAATTATTGCGCATTGAGAGGGAAATTGAATTTTTCTCTTCAGATTTTTTCTATTAAAATCATTGGGCACGGATTTTCCAAGTTTTTTCCGGTATATTTTGTTGTGTTTTGCATTAGAAGATGCGAGTAAAAAAACTCAGATAATTCATGCCTAAGTATTCTCATAAAAAAATTCAAAGAAAATATTCACCAGAATAATTGTCCAAATTTCAACATGAAGTTGAGCAAAATGGTACGGCTTAATTCTTAAGGGTGCCAAGTGAATTTGGCGATGGCCTTGAAAATTGACATTCACCAACAAAGTTATAATTTTTTAAAATTAATAGTATTAGACAGATGGTGAACATCGGTGACAATTTTAAAATTTTAGAACTTATGGATATCGAGAAATTAAATAAACAAAATCAGTCTTATACACGGCCTCTTATGGAGTTTTGATTAAATTGAACGTTTCAACCCCCTAGGAACTCAAGAAAAATTTGAAAAAATTTGAAGATATGGGGAATGATGTGTTCAATGTGATGGCGACAAAAAACAATGGGGTACCGGGGTGAATAAGAGAGATATTTTAACCCGCCGTACCCATTTGATGCCATGCTTTCTCGAGGTTCGTCACGCGAAATAGAGGATTTTCCGCATTTATTTTCTCGATGTCTAGTTCCGGTTGCGGGTTTGAAATTTCGTCGGATGGATGAATACATATTTCTCCAATGATGGAGGGAAAGAAAAAAATTTTTTTGAATCTTTTTTCAAATTCACTTGGCACCCTTAAATCATGAATTTTTATCATGAATACGGTTTTTTTCAATTTTAAAAATCTCTTTGTATTATAAAAATCCAAATCAACTTCTAGTGATAAAAATTTAATACTCGAAATTAAGATTGCGAAATTAAGGGTCATGAAGGTCAAAATAAGGGCTTTGAGGGTCAGAATAAGGGCCACAAGGGTCAATTAAGCGTCACAAAGGTCGGATTAAGGATCACGCAGGTAAGATTGAGGGTCCAAATAAGGGTCGTGGGCATCAAGCACTAAGGGTCACAAGGGTCTCAATATCTCTGTATATTATAAAAATCTAAATCGACTTTTGGTTATAAAAATTTGATACTCGAAATTAGGACTCCGAAATTAAGGGTCATGAGGGTGAAAATAAGGGCGCGAGGGTTAAAATAAGGGCCATCAGGGTCAGAATAGGGCCCACAAGGGTCAATTAAGTGTCACAAGGGTCAGATTACGGATCACGCAGGTAAAATTAAGGGTCCAAATAAGGGTGGTGGGGGTCAGACTCTAAGGGTCAAAATAAGGGTCTTAATATCTCTGTATATTTTTAAAAATCCAAATCGACTTTTGGTCATAAAAATTTGGTACTTGTAATTAGGACTTCGAAATTAAGGGTCATAAGGGTGAAAATAAGGGCGCGAGGGTTAAAATAAGGGTCATTAGGGTCAGAATAAAGCCCACAAGAGTCAATTAAGTGTCACAAGGGTCAGATTACGGATCACGCAGGTAAAATTAAGGGTCCAAATAAGGGTGGTGGGGGTCAGACTCTAAGGGTCAAAATAAGGGTCTTAATATCTCTGTATATTTTTAAAAATCCAAATCGTTTTTTGGTCATAAAAATTTGGTACTCGAAATTAGGACTCCGAAATGAAGGGTCGTGAGGGTGAAAATAAGGGCGCGAGGGTTAAAATAAGGGTCATTAGGGTCATAATAAGGCCCACAAGGGTCAATTAAGTGTCACAAGGGTCAGATTACGGATCACGCAGGTAAGATTAAGGGTCCAAATAAGGGTCGTAGGGGTCAGGCACCAAGGGTCATAAGGGTCAAAATAAGGGTCTCAATATTTTTGTATATTGTAAAAATTCAAATCCACTTTTGCTGATGAAAATTTGGTAGACTCGAAAATTAAGGGACAATATAAGGGCCACAAGAGTCATAAGGGTCAGAATACGGATTATGGGAACCATATGGGAGTTGGCAAACGGAGCGAGCTGGGGGCGTAGCCCCCCAGTAAATTTAAAAATTTTCAAAATTTTATGTTAAAACACAGTTTTATGGTCTCTCCGTACTATTCTCATTACTTTTCCGCGAGCATAAAGTGAGATAGATTAGCCATTCAACAAAAACTGTGCAATATAACATGAACTATTTTATATTTCTTTCAATTTTTATGGTCCTCTCGTAATTTCTCCTCAACCTACATAATATTAATGGATCTATTAACCTGTGACAAACAAGTCTTTGTTGCTGAACAAGACCCTGACCCCACTCACTTCTTTGTCTCTTCACATGTGAATAAAAAGAAAAAATAAGTGAGGTGGAAGCAGAACGGGTTTTCAAAACGAGTATCGAGTATAAACAGAGATGACAAAGGGGACTCTGCAGCATCAGTCGCCCGGTGTAAATAATTTGTGTATCCTAGTAACGTGAAAAAAGTAGTTTTGAAAATATCGTAGACTTGACGCTCACAAAAAATGGTCTTCTACTCCCAGAAATTCATGAATAAAATTATTGTCCATCACACTCTTGCCTTGGAGACTAGTGGCTTTAAGGAGAAATATCAAGAGACATTTTTCACAGCTCGAGAAATTTCAAACCATAATTTTCCTCATATTTTTGACTGCAACTTGATAATTTGGTCGATTAATTAAATTGTTTGATATTACAAGTCAATGGAGTCTGGATCGTCTTTCAACATTCAACATTTATTTAATGAAATTGTGAAACCCTACGAATAGAATGTGAAGACGTTCTGTCCAAGCAAATATGTTAGAGTAGCATTAACATTTTGAGATTAAAATCTGAAATGAATTCTAAACGGGAGTTAATATGAATAGAAACATTATGGTTGAGTTTCTGTTCGATCGGCAGTTTAGTGTCTATATTATGACAATTCAAATCGACTTTTGGTGTCGAAAATTTGGTACTCGAAATAAGGACTCCAAATTTAAGGGTCAGAATAAGGGTCACAAGGGTCAGGTGAAGGGTCGCAAGGGTCAGAATGAGGGTCTAAATAAGGGTCATGGGGGTCATATGGGGCTCGTCAACGAAAAGTAAACGAAAAGTCTTTGTTATGAATTTAATTGGAAATTTCGAATTTATAATTTTTTAACATTTTTTTGTAAACGAAAAAGACACCGTTCGGCACTCGTTGAACGTAACATCACGATCTTTTTATATTATAAAAATCCAAATCGACTTTTGGTGATGAAAAAAGACCGAAAATTAAGGGTCAGTAACTAAGGGTCACAAGGGTCAAAATAAGGGTCGCGAGGGTTATAATGAGGGTCAGATTAAGGGCCACGAGGGTCATAGATTAAGGGTCAGAAGGGCCTAAATGAGGGGCATGGGGCCCATATGGGGCTCTCTCTATATTCTCAAAATCTAAATGGACTTTTGGTGATGAAAATTTGGTACTCGAAATTAAGACTCCAAAATTATTATTTAAAAAACATAATTGAAGAATCAATTCGATGATAAATATTTTTTTTTACTTTTTGAATTTTTTTTTCCTCGTTACACTCAACGACTCAAATAGAGTTGATTCATAGTATTTTAAAATTCTAATTTTTTTCCATTAGGAGGTTTCCTGGATGAAAATTGAAAACATTCATGAAAATTCTGAATCCATCTGCATCAAGAAATTGTCGTGCATTTCCTGAACAAGTCACATTCAAGTGAAACAGGAAAACACCACATTGAAATTTTCCATAGTGACTAGCTGATAGTGTGTCCCCAAATCATCGGTTAATGAGATGTTTTGAAATAAAGTGATAAAACGAGTCAAGTGATGGACGAAACCTACAATTGAAATACACAATAATTCTTAACGACTCTATTATCTTGGACTCAATCAATTTCCACGTGTAGAGAACATTAGTCGAAAAGGAAATTCTATCTACGAAATTCTATTCGATCTCTACAAGAATGCTAGATGGTAAAAAAATATAGTTGAATTGAGTATAAAATATACCTCAATCAAGTATATTTTATACTTAGGGTGCCAAGTGAATTTGAAAAAAGATTCAAAAGAAAATTTTTTCTTTCCCTCCATCATTGGAGAAATACGTATTCATCCATCCGACGAAATTTCAAACATGCAACCGGAACTAGACATCGAGAAAATAATTGCGGAAAATCCTCTATTTCGCGTGACGAACCTCGAGAAAGCATGGGATCAAATGGGTACGGCGGGTTGAAATATCTCTCTTATTCACCCCGGTACCCCATTGTTTTTTGTCGCCATCACATTGAACACATCATTCCCCATATCTTCAAATTTTTTCAAATTTTTCTTGAGTTCCTAGGGGGTTGAAACGTTCAATTTAATCAAAACTCCATAAGAGGCCGTGTATAAGACTGATTTTGTTTATTTAATTTCTCGATATCCATAAGTTCTAAAATTTTAAAATTGTCACCGATGTTCACCATCCGTCTAATACTATTAATTTAAAAAATTATAACTTTGTTGGTGAATGTCAATTTTTAAGGTCATCGCCAAATTCACTTGGCACCCTTAATTGGGGAATGGATGTTTCAATTCGAAGATGATTGTTTTATATCAGGCCGGATTGTAGCAAGCCCTCGTAAGTGTAATATACCTAAGGGTTAGGAACTAAGTGTCAGAATATAAGGGTCAAAAAGTGGAGGTTAAAAAATGAGGGTCAGAATATTAGGGCCAAAACATCAGGGTCAGAATATAAATAATATATTATGCTTGATCCCCACTTTTAGCCCTTACATGACCCTCATTGCCTGACGCTCACTTTTTTTACTTTTATATTCTGACCCTCGTTTTTTAACCCTCATTCCTTCACCTTCACATTTAAGCCCTCAGTTTTCCTCCCTTTCCAAAAAGATGACTGTAACGGATTTTGAAGCCAGTAAATACGCCCAGTAGGCGCAGAGCTTAGTCGTCATCTCCTGATATATATATATATATATATAATAATATGAGGTATTCCACGCCAAATGAGTCAACCGCTGACCCTCACCCTCTTGGAAATTGATGGCGATTTTTTCTACGATTGGGGAGGTTGAAAAACTGTATCTCAAATTTTTTCAGATTTTTTCCGCAGTCCAGTTCGGAGATATGATTTTTGTTTCGTTTTTCCGGTTTTTTTCAATAACTCGAGTTCTATCCATCCGATTTTAATTTATTAAGCGTCAAAATTTTTCATTTCTTACTGCCTATAAGAATATTTTTAGTGAATTTTTTTTTTCGATCTCTAGATGCGCATAATAACGACTTTTCGAATAAAAAAATTGAAAAACTTGAACTTTGCAAATTACGTCACGAATGATTTGTTTCATTTTTTTCAGTATTTCTTATAATCAAAAAAAGTATTTTGAGCNCGCATAATAACGACTTTTCGAATAAAAGAGTTGAAAAACTTGAATTTTGCAAATTATGTCACGGATGATGGGTTTCATTTTTTTCAGTGATTCTTATAATCAAAAAAAGTATTTTGAGCCATCATACAAGTTGGGCATCGTCCTGGATCTATTTTATTTTCAATTTTTTCGTTTCGAAATTCCGTAAATTTGGTCGCAACACCTCAAAATGGCGTTGATTGACTTTGATTATAGACAGTACGAAGTGAATTCGATTGTATACCTATATATGACATTTTTTTTCGATACATAATCAAAGTCGTTTTGTGGTGTCTTGACCAAATTTGCGAAATTTCCAAGAGAAAAACTTAAAAATAACATAGATCCAGGAGGATGCCCAACTTGAATGACAGCTCAAAATACTTGTTTTGATTATGAGAATTACTGAAAAAAAATTGAATATCAACCGTGACGTGATTTGCAAAATTCAAGTTTTTCAACTTTTTTTCTCGAAAATTCGTTATTATGAGCATCTAGGAATCGAAAAAAAAAATTACTAAAAATAGGGGAGCGTGGGGCAAAACGGCCCCCTTCAATTGTCAATAACTTGTGAATGACATTGTGAAAATTCCCAGTTTCAACTTCATTTTGAAGATAATTTTTCATTCTTCAAAACGAGCTCTAACTCATCCCAATCGGATTATTGAATCGGAAAATATTGACGATTGAAGAGGGACCGTTTTGCCCCATCCTCCCCTAGTCGCATAGGCGGTAAAAAATGGAAAATTTTGACGCTTAATAAATCAAAATCGGACAAATAGAACTCAAGTTATTGGAAAAAACGGAAAAATGTGAAAAAAATCACATCTCTGAACTGGGCTGCCGAAAAAATCTGAAAAAGTTTGAGAGATAGTTTTTCAACCTCCCCGATCGTAGAAAAAATCGCTATTTATTTCCAAGAGGGTGAGGGTCAGCGATTGACTCATTTGACGTGGAATACCTCATATGCATTGTAACGGTGTTGTATTTTTGTTTGCTAAGCCGGCTTGGATGGGTTTTTAACCTGGACTCTATATAATAAAGATAGATAAATAGAATTTTCCATCGAATTCGCTAGGTTTTCTACAGAATTTTTTCAAACGTCATCACCCGGCATTTCATACGTCATCAATCAACAGTAACTAATTCTCGTAATTATCATTCCACAGAGGAAGCTGATAACCAGAGTCCATTGGATCCCTGGTCGATCGTCTGGTACATCGGCTCATTCGGGGGTCTCGTCGCCTTCTTCCTCATCGTCAGCTGTTCGGAATGGTGCTGTCGTCGATCAGCTCGTCCCCTAGGAACCCCCTACGCCCAGAGAACTGCTGAACCCGTAACGATAACTCGAAATGTTACAGACACACCACCACCACCATATCACCTCTTCGCACCACCCCCTTACGACTCGGTTAACTACAATGATCTCGTCGATAAGACCACAGGGGAGAAAGTCGATATCTACGTTATTTCTGTACCAATTACTGCCACCGAGCAGACGGTACCCGCGTAGTTGATGAATTGTTTAAATCTTCGGAGGAAATGCGAGTGCCTTAATGTATTCCAGAGCCAAGTGGATTCTCAAGTCAAATGTTAATTATGAAATTGTCGAAGGGCTTCGGGACACAGCGTCAGATGAACATTTTTGCAGATTCAATTTTCCCGTTAAAGATGAGCTGATAATTTATTCTACAATGAATAATTAACGAGGTAATTTCCTAGTCAAGAGGGGAAATTTTTTGAGATGTGAAAATTGAATTTTTAAGTGGACATCTGCCGATGTGTCAGGAGAGATTTCAGACCGAAAATGTCTGACGATGATTCCTCTTATAATGAATAATTTGCGAGGATTCATTACTGAGGAGGAGCAGTGGCCGGAATTAACTGCTGGAGCTCTGTTGATTATTTAATTGTCTCGGTAATCAGTGGTTTTAGGGGAAAACGTCAAAAAGCTTTTTGTGGAGATTTCAATTTCCCATCGAAAATTTCTTGTGATGGTTCCTTCTAAAATTAGGAATTAGCGAGATAATTTATGAGTCAGTGGGATTATGTCGTGCATGTGGAAATAAAACTGTTAATTATGCAATTATGCCAGAAAAAAGTCAAATGAGCTTTTCGGCAGACGACCCAATTTCAAATAAAAAATATCTCATGATTCCATCTAAATTGCATAATTAGTCAGGTGATTGATTACTAAACAGGTGCAATGACCTGCACGAAAAATTCAATTTGTCGATTATTTAATTATTTCGGTAATCAGTGGTTTTAGTGGAAAACGTCAAAAAACTTTTTGTGGAGATTTCAATTTCCCATCGAAAATTTCTTGTGGTAATTTCTTCTAAAATTAGTAATTAGCGAGATAATTTATGAGTCAGTGGGAAGATGTGGTATTCGTGGAAATGAAAATTTTAACTATGCAATTATGTCAGAAAAATGTCAGCTGAGCTTTTCGGCAGACGACCCAATTTCAAATAAAAAATATCTCATGATTCCACCTAAATTGCATAATTAGGGAGGTGATTCATTACTAACTAGGTGCAATGACCTAACCGAAAAGTTCAATCTGTCAATTATTTAATTATCTCGGTAATCAGTGGTTTTAGTGGAAAATGTTAAAAAAGCTTTTTTGTGAAGATTTCATTTTCTCATCGAAAATTTCTTCTAAAATTAGTAATTAGCGAGATAATTTACGAGTCAGTGGGAAGATGTACACGGGGAAAGGTAACTGTCAATTATGCAATTATCTTTGCGTCATGATTGATTTGGGGACAGAATGAGCTTTTCGGCAGACGACCCAATTTCAAATAAAAAATATCTCATGATTCCACCTAAATTGCATAATTACTGAAGTGATTCATTACTAAACAGGTGCAATGACCTAACCGAAAAGTTCAATCTGTCGACTATTTAATTATCTCGGTAATCAGTGGTTTCAGCAGAAAACGTCAAAAAGCTTCTTTGATCGCTTGTGCGTAAAGTGAAATTTTCGAGTGAACGAGAAAGTTTTTTTGATGTTTTCCCCTAAAATCGTTCGTCATCAAGACAATTTTAATTAAAACCGTTTAAGAAATCTGTTAATGTCCCAATTCAATGATCAATTCAATTAATCTTCGATAACTTTCCTCCCTTTGGGTCGGAAGTTGAAAATGAGAAATAATCATAACGGAATAAAAAAAATTCGAGGGGGAGAAAAGAATCTCCGGCTGCAAATGACCAAAGGATTGGTTGTCCGAGTGAGAAATTCGATTTCTTAAAAATATTTAGTATTATAAAATCAATTATTCACTTTCACGTTAATATTGCACTGTAAAAATTGTTATAATCCGTAAACCCCTCACGATTCTCCATCGCTCGAAGGAAAAATAATCATGAATCATAGATAAAATCGTCATTCCTGAGGAACAATTTCAGAAATCGAATGAAAATTGAAATTTCCGAATCAAATGAAATTTCAATTCTCATTTGCCAGTCGAAAAAATATATTTATGCGTTAAAATTCACGAACTGATTTTCGAAAAATCTAAAGTTCTGTCTGGATTGATTAATGCAGTAATCCATAAAATATAAAAATGTTCATGTAACTTTGTAATTATCACGCGTATGAACAACTTCAATAGAAAACCTTGGCCAATTCGCTAGAAAGTTCTATTGGAATTTTCTAAAAATTCTATGGAGATTCGATTAAAATTCTAGAGAATTCTCGTTAAAATTTTATGAGCTTTTTGCACCGATTCTATTAGACATTTGACAGGAAAAAGTCAACAGATTTCGATGTTTCTGTTTCAATTTTTCTCTTGAGATTTTTTTTACTAAAGCTATTGTTTTGGATTGGAGGATCCAAGTGAAAAAAACTTAGCAAATTTGAACCCAATTATTCTCATAGAAAAAATTACAAGAAAATATTCATATAGAAAAATCGAAATCTATTGAGTTTTTTCAAAAAACAATTGGAATTTTAACGAGAATTCCCGATAATTTTAATAGAATCCCAATCGAAATTCCAGAGAATACCAATAGAATTTTCTAGCGAATTCGCAAAGTTTTTCTTTTGAATTTTTTCATCCGTGCAATGACTCAACGAAATATCTCTTGCTGTAATTCCGATTGTTAGGAGTATTTTTACAGTGACAGCATCAATTACGCAGTATAAAACTTCAATTGATAAATTTCAACGATGAGCGAGTGAACTGAATATCTGCGAGTGTTTGATAATTGAATGAGGAATGAGAGACCACGAAAAAAAAAGAAAAATAAACATGAGTGATTGAAAAATGAAGATGAATGCAATCAACGGATTACCTCGGTAATTATTGTCTCAATCCAATAGTTCCCGAGATACTTGTGAAACAAAGAAATTGATTAAACTCAGACTGCCATTAAAAAACTGCTGACATTGAAATAACATAAATGGACCTTAGAGTTAATGAAATTTGTATTCCAAGTGTAAATTTATATTGTGAGTATTGGAAGTGGATGACTGAGTGGATCATGAATGTATTATAAACATATTTATTTTTTATAAATTTTTTATATAAAAGAATAAAGTTGAAAAAAAATGTACAAAGGTAATTGATTGAGAATATTGTTGTTTGTATTTTTTCACCCTTCAACTAAATGATCACGTCTGAAGAAATTAGTAGAAGAACAAAAAAATTTTTTCTTTCCCTCCATCATTGGAGAAATATATATTCATCCATCCGACGAAATTTCAAACCCGCAACCGGAACTAGACATCGAGAAAATAAATGCGGAAAATCCTCTATTTCGCGTGACGAACCTCGAGAAAGCATGGCATCAAAGATTAAAATCTGATTTTTTTTTCATTAGATGTGAAGAAATCAAGCATTTTTTTGACACCTCATAAAAAATAATCCACCGTTTTGCAAACAAGTTTTATTATTTATTTATAAGGGGGAAACGTTTGAAAAAATATCAATATTTTGTGAAATTTCATTTAGATAATATTGACTGGGTATGAATTTTTTCAAATTTTTTCCATGCAATTTAGTTGAAAAAATAAAAACTGAAAATATCCAAAAGTACAGCGTGCCCGGCCGAAGGATAGAGCTACTTTAATCTGACAAAATTTCAGATTTTTTCTTCCGAATGGAAGCTTTGTAATCGGCCGATTTTTGGATTCTCTAATTTTGTTTGCACATGACTTAGAATGGAATGAAACGTCGAGACATGATTTTTTTAGATAATGTCTGTGTATACGTCCGTAGGTGCGTACAAAATTCTGGGAATTTTCTGATAAATTTTCCCACAAAAAGGCTAAAGAGATCATTTACCTTATGTTAGGAATGCGGGAGTGTTTTCTCCCGAATATTATCAAATATAGAAAATGTCCCGCCCTATTTTCCACTGATGGCGCTGTTCTCACATACCTCATTCGTAGGTTATGTTTTTCCAGTATTTACAAAAAAAAATCTTGACATTTGCACGTATCCTGTTCTCGCTAAAAATGAGTTTCTCCTCGAATTTACCTGCGAGTTATTACAGACCTTCTGGAATCCGCGTTGATTAGCCTCACAGTGAGTATATCAGCAATTGTTTCGCCTGAGAAGTTTCTCAAAATCTTCATAAACACCCACATATGTCAAGTGATTTCAGTAGGATGAATGCAAGGGGCATTTTTTCCTTCTTATTTCATACTATCTTAAGGATATCCAAGTACTTTGGCCATTTTTTCTCCAGTGAAATGCTTCTCTACTTCTGTAGTCAAACATCACAGTTTTCATTTGACTCCACTTGACCCTGAGTTTCCGGACATTTTACAATGATTTTATTATTTAAACTTTGCAGGTCTGAATTCGAATCTCGATATTGAACCGTTAGAAAATATTTTAAAAATATGAAAAAAAATTGAAAATTTACTTTTGAAGGAAGATTGCTTAAATAATTTGAAAATGGCAATTTTTAAAAATGACGACCATTTTTAAATGAATATTTTCGTAAATAATTTATAAACAATCAGTTTTCCAACATGAAAATAACTTGTTTGAAGTCGAAATAAATTTATTCAGATTCTGAATTTTACCAGAAATTGATGCGTTATTTGTGTTTTTCATTTTTTATTTCTACCAATTCCGTTGGTAGTAAGCTTCCGTACGGATCCGCAGAAATTTTATTTTTGAACTGAAAAGTGGCAATTTTTACGGTAAACGTTTCCTCGAAACGTTTGACCTTCTAAAATTGAGAATTAAATTTCGGTTTTATCCAGTGGAATGGGCATATCTACACGACTGTATTTTTAAGAAATGTTTCCATGTAAAAATCAATGACAGAACAACGATATGTCATTTTATGCGAAAAACGTTTCTTACATCAACTGCTCTTTTTCAAAAAGTTTTGAATCGATCAATCTGAAATTTTACACAGGAGTGCAACTTGATGATACTAACTAGTCCTCAACATTTTGGAATTTTACCACATCCTTCACTCGTGTAATGGAACGTCAAAGCAACTTTCAGACAAGAAAAATAGAAAAACTCCAATATCTCGTAAACTTTGTAGGAACGGGTATTCTATTCTATTCTGTTTTTGGCCGTCCAACTTCGAGGTTTTACGGGCCGCTATCCCCCTAGGGGGACATTGCTGAACTTAGTTGAAGTTCTTGATAATGTAGATTCCAGATGATGATCTTCAAATTAAATCTTCTTTTGAATTTTCTTGAGAAAGTTGTAGATTAGTTGACAAATTTTATCCTTCGGTGATTTCATCAGAGTGTATATATTATATGAATGTATTCTTAAGGTATTCAAAGCTTTTACTAAAATAGTCGTCTAGTTTAAAATATAGTCCTCTCTTCTTTACATTTTGGGCAGATCCAAAAAATATGAGTGAGTGTCTCTTTGATATTTGCATTGCAGTCACATATTGGAGAGTTGATGTAGTTTTTTCGTGCTAAACTTTCATTCAAATTGAAGTGATTAGCTCTCATTCGGCTGATTGTTGTGATGACGGGTCTATTTAAACTGGACGATTTGAACCACGGTGGGCGCCATCCTAGATAGAATTTCTCAAAGTATTGAGTCCTTCTATTTTTTGATCGATTTTTAAGAATTCTTACTGTATCTTCACGCATTTTTTGTTGATATTGTAATAGAAGTCCGTGTAGGGTATTTTGGTTTAGGAAAGGGTATATATATTTTGAAAGAACTAGATAAAAGACATCAAGATGAACATTTTGAAAAAAAAACTTGAAATCGGATGAATAATTTTTCAGATATTGAACAATATAGTTTTATACAAAAAATTGAATATCTTTAAAACTACTCATTCGATTTCGCACATCTGAAATCCCAGCCTGTAATATAGTAGGAGCTAGAATCCTACCGAATTTCGACTTTCCATCTCAATTTTTTCAAGCGTTATCGTGTTCACATCAATTTTATCGCAAAAATGAAAAATGTCAATTACTGGGCGACTCGCAATAGTTAGCTAGGCATATTATGGTCTGATTCAATAGATATTATCACAAAGAATATTTTGACGCCAAAAAAGTTCATTTGATGAAGTAGTTTTCGAGATATTGAGAAAAGAAAATTTTTTCAGAATCACTGAGTAATCTCAAAATTTACTGGACTGATTGAGCTGAAATTTCGCCCAGATGTGCTCCCAAACAACACCAATTATGAGCCAAAATTTCAGATTATTATCTATCACTTTAGTTCTATTTCTGTGAAAATTTATAAAAAAATTCCCAGACATTCTCTAAAAACATCATATCCCGACGTTTCATGACATTCTAAGTCATTTCCAAGCAAAATTAGATAATCGAATAATCGACCGATTCTTCAAAAGTTTAAACAATTTCAATTATTTATTTATAAACAATTTTTTTTGAGAACTTCTAACAATTTTCTCTAAAATTCCTTATCTCTCGCAAAATCTCTAAGAATTCCACCAAAAGCTGTGAAGTTTACTCCCCAAGACCCTCTCATTTCAGACAAACGTCAATCCTGCAAAAAAAACCCCAAAAAAAAAAATCAATGGACTCCTTCGAAGTGGACTCGAACGCCTCCTTCGACTCTCTCCACCTCTCTTCCGAGGATTTCAACCCCCCGTCCCCGTACCCCCACTCCTCCACCCCGGAATCCTCCAAAAACCTCCAAGAATTCGAGCAAGAAGCCGAGAAGCTTCGTCTCGCCCTCGAGAATTCGAGATCCGAGATCGATTTATTGAAATCCTCCAACAATGCATTGAAGAAAAAAATCGGAGAGCTCTTCCTCGAGGCTCAGGCCTCCCTGGAGGACAAACTCAGGCTCCAAAACACCTTGAAAGATCGTGAATGCCAATTGGCGATGATCGAGAACTCCTCAAGGTGGTACCAGGCTCGACTACACGAGTCAGAAGCTGCGAATAAATCGTTGAAAATGGATCTAGAGGCTTATCAGAAGATTCTGCACCAGAGGGAGCAGACAATCGCTGATTACACCGATAAATGTGAGAAGAATCGACATTTAAAGACAAAATTCGAGCAATTGGAGACGAAATATCGAATGGAGTGTGAGAATTTCCAGAAGGAGTTGCATGTGATGAAAACTGAGAATTCGTCGAAGAATTCATCACGTTCGAAGCCTCAGGCTTCTTCTGAAGAGAAAATTGTCCTAGACTTGAGGAAAAAAATCGAGGAAATGTCGAGGGATCTTGAAATAGCGGAGAGGAGGTACTCGAACGCCGAGTTGTCTCGAAGTCTAGAGGAAAACTCTTCGTTGAGTTACAAAAAACAGCTTGAGAAGCTTCGAGATGACTTTAGCTCCCTGGAGATCGAGAAGAATGAAGCGTCTGAGAAGCTGAAGGTCTTGAATGCTCAATCGGAGGACTTGAGGATTGAGAACGAGAGGTTGAATCTCATCCTGTTGTCCTCGAAGAAGGAGAAGGTGGAGGTGGAGGAGGGGATTGTTCAGCTCAGACTCCAGCTGACGAAGATGATTGCGCAGCACAAGGCCTTGAAGAGCAGGAATTTGGTGACGGAGAGGAGGTTGGGGAAGGAGATGGGGAGGGTGAGGGAGATGGAGAAGGAGAATAGGCGGCTTAAGGCGAGGAGTGTGGCTGTTAATAATTCCTTGGTGAGGAAGATCAGGGAGGAGAAGAGAAGGTGCAAGGTGCTGGAGGGAGTGCTGAGGGAGGAGAGGGCTAAATCGATTGTGGATTATCAGGTAGAAATTTTTTGATGATTTCAGGTCTAACATTGGGATTTAAGGGTGCCATGTGAATTTGAAAAAAGATTCAAAACAATTGTTTCCTTCGCTCCATCATTGGAGAAATATGTATTCATCCATCCGACGAAATTTCAAAACCGCAACCGGAACTAGACATCGAGAAAATAAATGCGAAAAATCCTCTATTTCGTGTGACGAATCTCGAGAAAGCATGAGATCAAATGGGTACGGCGGGTTGAAATATCTCTCTTATTCACCCCGGTACCCCATTGTTTTTTGTCGCCATCACATTGAACACATCATTCCCCATATCTTCAAATTTTTTCAAATTTTTCTTGAGTTCCTAGGGGGTTGAAACGTTCAATTTAATCAAAACTCCA